AGAAGGATTTTAAAGAATTTGCTATATTTCCCCTATTGGGCCCCACCCCTCAGCCCCCAGGGGGGCCAGGCCCACTGTTTATACAACATTGGTTCCCCTTTACCCAAGGATGCTCCACACCAAATATGGACCAAATCCTTTCATTCCTACAGAAGAAGAAGGATTTTAAAGAACAATTTGCTATGTTGCCACTATTGGGCCCCGCCCATCAGGCCCCTGGGGGCCACACCCACGGTTTATACAAAGTTGGTTCTCCTTCACCCAAGGATGCTTCAGACCAAATATGGAACAAATCCTTTCATTCCTACAGAAGAAGAAGGATTTAAAAGAATTTGCTATATTTCCCCTACTGGGCCCCACCCCTCAGCCCCCAGGGGGGCTAGGCCCACTGTTTATACAACATTGGTTCCCCTTTACCCAAGGATGCTCCACACCAAATATGGACCAAATCCTTTCATTCCTACAGAAGAAGAAGGATTTTAAAGAACAATTTGCTATGTTGCCACTATTGGGCCCCGCCCATCAGGCCCCTGGGGGCCACACCCACGGTTTATACAAAGTTGGTTCTCCTTCACCCAAGGATGCTTCAGACCAAATATGGAACAAATCCTTTCATTCCTACAGAAGAAGAAGGATTTTAAAGAATTTGCTATATTTCCCCTATTGGGCCCCACCCCTCAGCCCCCAGGGGGGCCAGACCCACCATTTATACACAATTTGTTCCCCTTCCCCCAAGGATGCTTCTGACCAAATTTGTTCAAAATCTGCTCAGTTGTTCATGACTAGTAGTGTTTTAACTCTTTCCGTACCGTTGTCGTGTACACACGACAACAATATGTCATCCTGGTCCCCGTTGTCGTGTACAGACGACAAAATAAAGGGTCGTCTCATCCCCGTTGTCGTGTACACACGACAAGAGACTTTGATGTAACCTGCCTGATGTTTAGTTGGTTATCGCATGAGACTGTCGCGAAAAAACAATTAATTGTCGCTAAGATCAGAACCCATCAGTTTGGAAGAAATACTTTTATTTGTACAGAGTACCCTTTTTTATTATTGACTTAAACTTTTCGCATTTACCGCAAGATGTTTGCGTTTGGTGCCTCAAATGTAAACAAAATGGCGGCAACTTAATTCGATACGAACACTCGTAAATTCATCATCAGATATGAAGTCTTGATGAAATCTACTTGTATTTAGAAAAAAATTCAACAACTCCACATTCGTAACCATAATTAATCCCCATTTCAAACCTGCACTACAACGTTGTGTTAAATACAAGGAATCGTATCGTTTATTGCCAGACAAATGTCGATTTCTCAGTCATAATCAGCTTCCAGTTAGTCATTATGCTGCGAAAATGAAGAAGTATTTGTCTATGAACCAGAACATGAAACAATAACAATATTTGTTCACGGTTACCTGTTTAATTCTTGTGGCAGTTACACCTAGTCTAAAAAGAACATTAATAATCCGCCATTTTGTTATATGCGCGGGGGCGAGTCTAAAAAGTACATCCGGTACGGAATCCGGACCGGAGTTGCGGTACGGAAAGAGTTAAAGGAAAAGTTGACGGACGGACGGTCGACGGACGACGGATGCTGCGGTATTGCATAAGCTCACCATGGTCATTCGGACCAGGTGACCTAAAAATGTAGGAGAAAATCTTCCGACGAAAAATCAAATACCAAAATGAACAAAAGGCAATAAATTTTGGAAAAATCGTCTAATCAAAATTCTTTTAAGGGAGACACAACTTCATATCATGATTATAATGTATACCAAGTTTCAAAGAGATCAGTCGAAAAATGTAGGAGGAGATTGCCGGACAGAAATCAAATACTGAAATGAACAAAGGGCAATAAATTTTGCAAACATCGTCTAATCAAAATTCTTTTAGGGGAGACAAAACTTCATATCATGATCATAAAGTATCCAAAGTTTCAAAGAGATCCGTTGAAAAATGTAGGAGGAGATTTTCGGACAAAAATCAAATACTGAAATGAACAAAGGGCAATAACTTTTGGAAAAATTGTTGAATCAAAATTCTTTTAGGGGAGACCAACCTTCATATCATGATTATAATGTATACCAAGTTTCAAAAAGATCAGTCGAAAAATGTAGGAGGAGATATCCCGACAAAATTCAAATACCGAAATGAACAAAGGGCAATAACCTTTGTAAAAATTGTTGAATCAAAATTCTTTTAAGGGAGACACAACTTCATAACATGATTATAAAGTATACCACGTTTCAAAGAGATCGGTCGACAAATGTAGGAGGAGATCTCCCGACAAAATTCAAATACCGAAATGAACAAAGGGCAATAACTTTTGGAAAAATTGTCGAATCAAAATTCTTTTAAGGGAGACACAACTTCATATCATGATTATAATGTATACCAAGTTTCAAATAGATCAGACGAAAAATGTAGGAGGAGATTGCCGGACAAACAAAGTTTACGCCAGACGGACAACGCCATTCCATAATACTACCGTCAAATTTGACGGTCGTATAAAAATTGGTTCCACTTTCCCAAGGATGTTCTTTGCCACTTTACACATGTTCTTGATAACAATCTAACTGTGAGGTGTTGAGTTAGGCACTGCTGAGGTCACGGTCACAATGGTGGATTCCAAAATATCATCTGTGATCTTATAAATAGATGGAAATGTCCAATATTGAGGTTGTGAAGCCTGTATGCAATGTTTCTGCCTGTGAGGAAGATGAAGTTGAGGTTGAGGAAGATGAAGTTGAGGTTGAGGAGGAGGAAGTGGAGGTTGAGGAGGAGGAAGTAGAGGAGGAAGTGGAGGAGGAAGTGGAGGTTGAGGAGGAGGAAGTGGAGGTTGAGGAGGAGGAAGGTGGAGGTTGAGGAGGAGGAAGTGGAGGTTGAGGAGGAGGAAGTGGAGGTTAATGAATAGGAGGTAGATTCGGTCATCAGTGTTGCTAGGGAGAGTGCTAATTAATAAGATACTCTATTTTCTCAAGACTGAATTGAAAACCGTAGGAAATGCAGCCTCTCGGGAAAGGTTATTACAAACAAGAGGCCCAAGGGCCTTAGCGGTCACCTGAGTTATATCATAGGTACTGGTAGCTTTATTTTATTGTTTAGATGTGATGTGGAAATCAGCATGTAAACTAAGTGAAATACAATACTTGTCATGTCATCAAAGGATAAGATTTTGAAATTATTGGTAAATGTTCCCTTTGGGGCCCCGCCCTAGCCCCTGGGGATGGGGCAGGAATCCCAATTTTCCAAAGTAATACTCTCATTCACCAAAGATGATTCTGACTAAGTTTGAGTAATTTTCTGCTGAAAATGGATAAAATATATACCCAAAAGTGTTATTTCCCTATATAAACTATTGTAAACTTTACCCCCTCCCCAAGGGAGAACGAATAGCTCAGGGGTCCTGAAATTTACAATTTAAATAAAGCCCCTGATGATCTTTCCATCCATGCAGAGAAAATGACTGTAATACCTCTGAGTCTGGAGAAGAAGATTTTTGAAATATTGGTAATTTTCCCTTTTGAGCCCGCCCTGGCCCCTAGGGTTGGGGTAGGAATCCCAATTTTACAATTTAAAACCATCTTCCTCCTCCAAGGATGATTCTGACCAAGTAAAAATAATTTCCAACAGAAAATTGTCAAAATATACCCAAAAGTGTTGTTTCCCTATATAAACTATAGTAAACTTTACCCCCTCCCCAAGGGAGAACGAATAGCTCAGGGGTCCTGAAATTTACAATTTAAATAAAGCCCCTGATGATCTTTTCATCCATGCAGAGAAAATGACTGTAGTATAGGACTCTGAGTCTGGGGAAGAATATTTTTGAAATATTGGTTAATTTTCCCTTTTGGGCCCCGCCCTGGCCCCTAGGGTTGGGGTAGGAATCCCAATTTTACAATTTAAAACCATCTTCCTCCTCCAAGGATGATTCTGACCAAGTAAAAATAATTTCCAACAGAAAATTGTCAAAATATACCCAAAAGTGTTGTTTCCCTATATAAACTATAGGAAACTTTACCCCCTCCCCAAGGGAGAACGGATAGCTCGGGGGTCCTGAAATTTACAATTTAAAGAAAGCCCCTGATGATCTTTCCATCCATGCAG